ACAAGACTTATAAATTGGCTAGCACATATAATGAAAGGAATTTCATATGAATAGGTCAATTGTCTGCAGCACTGCTGTATTCTCAGAACTAAGAACTTTTATTACAAAACATTAAATACAATTAACTTTAGCAATATAATCTAACCAAATCACAGACTTTTCCTATGTTTGTTCAGTCCTTTGGAATGGTTATATTTTTCTACTGTTAATAGGATAACCTCTTGCAAATATATTACCTTCAAGCTAGCCAAGAATAAACCTGTACGTTACCAAAATTCAAACATATAGCTAAATTGTAAGTAGCACACTGAAAATTACATATTTCTGTACAAAAAGCATGAGCATTAAAATACATGCTTCAGGATTTTAAATTAATTTTAATAAGGTCATCAAATATAAGCTCTGGATTCGATCGACTCTTGGGACCTTTGGCAGCAATAGATTTATTTCAGCTCTTTAAACTTTCACCGTAATAGAAAAAAAATGTTATTAGACCTCAAAGAGAACAAAGGAAAATTATCAATCATTTGGAGTTACCTGGATCAGTGGTGGCACACTCCCCTCTGAGTCCCATCCCAGGACTTTTGAGTTAAAGTCCATTCCAGTATGGTGAGGGAGTGCAGGACTGGCACAGGTGCTGTCTATTAAATGAGATGTGAAATACAGACACTATCTGACCTTTGATATGAACTGGGAACTTTCCACAATACCCTGGCCAATACGCCACTCTCGAGCAACATCACAGTCAAAAAACATGAGCAGTATCTCATATAACAAAGGTGTAGAGCTGGATAAACACAGCAGGCCAAGCAGCATCAGAGGAGCAGGAAAGCTGACGTTTCGGGTCTGGACCCTTCAGTACCTCATTGCTGTCCGTGAAAGCTTGCTGTGCCCATGTTGGTCAACCTTTTTCTACACACATGTAACTACACTTCAAAAATATTGTATTAGCTATAAAGCAGTTTGGAACATTAGGTGGTTTGAAAAGGTGCCATATAACTGCATGCCTTTCTTTTAACCAGCCAACAGGCAATTCAACTATTAACTAATTCAATTCATAATGGAATGTGGGATCGGTTAGGTCAATTGGCTGAATGGCTGGTTTGCAATGCAGAGTGATGCCAA